CCCCCCCCCCCCCCCCCCCCCTCTCCTTGTTGCCCTACTCCTGTTGTATAATTGTCAGCATTCAAGCGTCTGGTTCTGATATTCTGATGATGATTCCGATAATGATTCAAGTGATGATTCTGGTGAAACGGTGATGATTCTGATGATGATTCTAATTACTGATTCCTGTGATGATGATTCTGGTGATGATTCTGGTCATGATTCTGGTGATGATTCTAATTACTGATTCCTGTGATGATGATTCTGGTGATGATTCTGGTGATGATTCTGGTGATGATTCTGGTGATGATTCTGGTGATGATTCTCCTGATTATCCCAATTCCACCCCCACCTTGCCCCCTACCCCTGTTGTATAATTATCGCCATTCTTGTGCTTGATTCAGATTCTGATGATGATTAGTCCAATGATGATTCTGATGATTCTAATTTCTGATGATGATTCGGTTGACGTTCCGATGGTGATTCTGATGATGATTTTGTCCAGCGTTTGATCGTCCTCACCATCATCATCATCGTGGTGAACCCTGTCATGCCGCTTTGTAATGGAAAAGTAGAGTGAAGCTAGTCAGTAAGAGAGCGAGAGAGAGAGAGAGAGAGAGAGAGAGAGAGAGAGAGAGAGAGAGAGAGAGAGAGAGAGAGAGAGAGAGAGAGAGAGAGAGAGAAGGTAGTTGACGTCTATCAACAAGAAGGCGACAACTGAGTGAGAAGTAGTGAAAAGGCACTGGCACTGTATGGCAGTGAAATTACTTCTCTAAAGTTGGAATTCTATTTGTGGGGACCACTTGGTCATGGGATGTGTTTGGTTTACCTTACGCTGTTTTGCAGGTTGAAGATCGTGGCGGTGCAATCAAGGGGCCCGACCGGCTCGACTTGTATCACTTTTCGCACCAGGAGGCACTTGAATGGGGTCGAAGAACGCTGCCGGTAGGGGGACAGACAGACCTTGCCTAAAATTTTGCCTTTTACCACAAAGTGTCACTTTCTTCTTCCTTTTTTTTTTTTTCTTGCTTTGAGCTTATGTTTTTTTTTGGTTTTGTGAATGTGTGATCTTCCTTCTTCTTCTTCTTCTTCTTCTTCTTCTTCTTCTTCTTCTTCTTCTTCTTCTTCTTCTTCTTCTTCTTCTTTGTCGTCGTCATTGGCGGCGGTGGCGGCGTCTTCTTCTTCTTCTTCTTCTTTTCTTTTTTGGGATTTTTTCCCATGGATGTATGGTGGACGGCCAGATACATCAAGAATGTGGACAATGAGAGTGGGAAGTGGGGCTGAAAAAAAAAAAGAAAAAAAAAGAGAGTATGAAGAGGGGCTTGGCAGTGGGCTATCTGTATTCCACACCCATGATAGAAACTGCTTTCCACCAAACTGCAGCTGCAATCATCTGTGACATTTTCCGCCGCGAAGCGTTCATCTTTCCCACCCACCCCAGGGTGGGGTGGTGTCGGCTCCATTCTTTTCTTGGCCAGGCAGCGAAAGAAGCTGACGAGCGGAAAAAGGGATTTGAACCCTCAACCTTAGCCTTGGCGAGGCTATACTCTACCATTAAGCTATTTCCACCATCAATCCACTTTGTGGTGCGTGACAGGGGGTTTATTGAGAGGTAGCCTTGCCTGCCAAACCCAATTTAGGAGGGTCCGCGCCTTGTCCCTGTGAAGCGGGGTTTATTGAAGGGTAGTTTATAGCCTCAGTGAGGGTCGTCAGGGGTGTGTCTCTGTGAAGAGGTTTTTATTGAAAGGGTAGCCTAGCCTGCCAAATCCAGTTTAGGAGGGTCAGCGGTATATCTCTGTGAAAGGGGGTTTTATTAGAAGGGTAGCCTAGCCTCCCCAAATCCCTTTTTTTTTTTTTTTTTTTTTTTTTTTTTTTTTTTTGTTTCAGGGTCAACGGTCTACTTTCATTCTGTACACAACTGATGACAGTTGTCACCAAGCCCACTCCTTTGCCTGATTGCTGCCACTTTGCATGGTGACCTGCCCCCATTGCCGCCACCATTCTGCATGTATCTGTGCAATGATGTGGACTGCATGCATCTGCGTGATGATATTGATTCTGCATGCATCTGTGCGATGATGTGGACTATGTTCAGCTACCATGCTGCATGCATCTGTGCGATGATGTGGACTATGTTCAGCTACCATNCTGCATGCATCTGTGCGATGATGTGGACTATGTTCAGCTACCATGCTGCATGCATCTGTGCGATGATGTGGACTATGTTCAGCTACCATCCTGCATGCATCTGTGCGATGATGTGGATTCTGCATGCATCTGTGGGATGATGTGGACTATGTTCAGCTACTATTCTGCATGCATCTGTGTGATGATGTGGATTATGTTTAGCTACCATTGTCATCCTAATAGAACGCTCAGTCATTATCATTATCGGGATTTATTCAATTTAATAAATTTATCGTTGTAATCTGTGCGACTTTCAGTCTACATTCCGGGTGTTCTCTTCGCATGAAACCGTAGGCATGTCATGGCGGTGCCGTTGGCTTCACGAGCATATACGTTTATGACAGACCGCCACATTGATGGAATGGTAGAGTGCAGGCTCTGCCTGTGTAATCTCACTGATTATGTTTTTTTGTATTTGTTCTTGTCACCCCTGGTAGTATGAACATTTACTTTTATGTCCATAAAGCCGCAGCGTAAGTTGTGTGTACCTGGCTTGCAAAGCAACTAAATACATGCTATTTCTCAATTATTTCCTATTTAGTCCTTTTGGACTGTGGGAGTTGAATCGCACGCCTCGTCATCTTTGATGCGTGTGAAAAGGAGAGCTGAAAAGATTGTCGAGCAGTGCCTATCATCGCAAAGATTGGACATTTAGCAGCAGCGAGGCTTATAACTTGCTGGCACTTCACTAAGTCCGATTTGCCAGGCTAGGCTACCCCTCAATAAACCCACTTTCAGATGCAATGCTGTTCTATTAGGGGTTCTCTCCTTTGGCGGTACTCCGACGGCCTTGCAGCCCACATTCACTCAGATCGAATATCGTAGGCAACCCCAGCATCCAACAACGACTACTGGAAACCCCGTGAGTGCGTTTGGACGTATCTGGGCAAGTTTGACTGGTCTGGGGGGAACCCCGGGGTTTTGCAGCATATGGAATGGCCTGGAGAGAGACTTGGGCTCATTGCTTGCTGAAAAAAAAAAAAAAAAAGATTGCCTCGTGCTTGCTGGTTGCCTATTGCGTCCGTGAACCATCCTATTCCGATCAGTCTTCAAAAAAACCAAAAAAAAAAATCCTAGTCAAAATTGAGAATCATTAAAAATGACTAAAATGAATCGAAAATTTTCCAATTCACAATTATTGTCTATTGATTTTTTTTGGGATTTTTTAAACGCAAAATTGAACGCATGAGGGGGGGGCAAAAAAAAAGGCTTTTTTGAAGTTTTTTGAAGTTTTTTGAAGTTTTTTCTAAGTTTTTCAACAATTTCGAATCCACAGTTTTGAAGAGAGGGTGGGAGGGAGGAGAGAATGAAATGCGGCGACCTGAAAAATGCACGGACTCCGTCACGATGGTGATCTACTTTTTTTTTTTTATACCTTTTTTAAGTTTTTTTTGGCCGTTTTGTTTAACTTCGAATTGCCTCAGTGCTTGCTCCGAACCAGTTGAAAATTAAAATTGTTTGTCTCAGCTTCTTTCACTTACTGCAGACTTGTGCTCTTCTTTTTTCAAGTTTTTTTCCTTCTGTTTTGTTTTGTTTTGTTTTGTTTTGTTTTTGTTTGTTTGTTTGTTTGTTTGTTTGTTTGTTTGTTTGTTTTTTTTTTTTTTTTTTTTTTTTTAGGAATGTGAAAATGGGCCTGCCAGCTGCCTTAAAAAAAAACAAGAAAAAAAAAAGCACCTGCCAGCATTGATCACCCTGAGTTCCAGCCTTCCAGGGGATTAACTGAACACTGTAGAACAGGTTTATAAATTCACTTAATGAGGGAAAATGGGGAACTGGACCTTCCTCTCCTATTCTTTTTCCTTGTGCTTTATCAGGAAAGCAAACCAAAAAGCAACAAACAAACACAATCTCTCATAGACATGTCCTCTTTCTTTTGTATATTCGTCTGTCTGTGTTCTTTTTGTGTGCGTACTGTGTACCCTTGACCAGGTGACAATTGTCCCACCAGGAGAAAGCCGGGTCGACATCATGCGCGCCCCCCGCGTTGTAAAGGCAGTTATAAAGGGGTTGAACTGGACGAAGTCGCTTCTGATATGACTCTCTTATCCTTGCGTCAGTGCTCTTTCCACCTTTCACTACGCAAAACAGGAAGTACGTAGGCAGGCAGCGGTGGACTAATGCGCGAACGCTAAACGCCGTGTGAAGTTGTGCTGATCCTTTCAACTTGATACGCGAACGCCTCAAACGCCTCGAACGCCGCGAACGCCGCGAACACCGCGGAGTCCGTCCTTTCCGGCACGAGTTTGTTTGTTTGTTTGTTTGTTTAAGACGAGTGTCCTGCGTGCGTCAAAAAATGACACCACTCACCTTGCTGTGAGAATGTCGTCACGCTTTTCTGTAACAGGAATTACTGCGGTAACATTTGACTCATTGCAATCTTGAGTTTGACAATCTTACCCTCACTCCACTCTCCCCCATCCCCCCCCCGCCCCCTCCTCCTCCCTTGCCGCCACCCGCTCCCAAGCCACACCCTCTCACTGCTACCCTGTGGAACCACTGTCATTTATTCGTGCATCTTGTCCGCGCACTCTTCTGTGCTCAGCACGGGTACAGATTCTAGAATCGATCATTGTGAATTGATCATCTTTCCTCTCTTCTTCCGCCTCCTGTTCCCGTTTCAAGGCACCGTCGTAGAGGACTTCCAAATGCGGTTTTTCCGCTGGGCTTGCAGCACTCGTTATAATGGCCAGCCACTGAGCTGAAGTCATTTGTTCGTTGTAGCAGCGCCTTTCAGGTTCTCTCTACTGAAGTCTGCCCTAACTGGTTGGCGACCGAACACTCCCCAACCACCCCCAACTGCCCCAAGCCCCAATTCGCTCCACCACCATCCACTTATCCTTTGAAAACTCACCAATGAAGTCTTCATCGAGGGGACGTTTCACAACTCACATGCCAGGCAGTGGCCTCTTATGACCCCTTGTCATATGCGCTGTGTTTTCCTTCCTAAGTTTGACGTACTCCTTATAGCTTGAGCATCGAACGAATGCTGTACCGTGTCTGCACGTACTTCTTAGCTTGGACATCGAAGTAGCGTAACTTGTTGTGCCGCGTCTTCCGTCCTATGTTCGATATACTTTTTATAGCTTGAACATCGAAGGGGCGCTTGCTATCGTGAACTTGATGTGTCTAGTTGTATAGTAAATCTATAGATCCTGTCCTTAGACTCCGTTCCGTCGTTAGAAGAACGACTATTCCGTCCTTAAAGGCTATTGTTAGCCTTCAAGAGGGCCAGGCAGGAATCAGGCCACTCATGTTGAAGTGCGGTGGCATGCACTTGTTTTTTAGCGGAACCACGTTTTCTTTCTTTTGCTCCGTTAGAATTGCATGCCAGGTTAGAAGACTGCGATTCCATCCTTAGTGGCTGTTTCAGTGCCTTGCTCCAATGAGTGCACTTGTGTTTGTGTTTGTGTTTGTGTTTGTGTGTGTGTGTGTGTGTGTGTGTGTGTGTGTTTCAGTGCACTTGTGTTGCTCCAAGGCATGCACTGTTTTGAAGTTTTCTTCTGTTTTTTTTTTTTGAAGTGCAGTGGCATGCACTTGTGTTTTAGCAGAACCACGTTTTTCATCTTCTTATTCCTAATTTATGTCGTTACTGACTCGCGAAAGAAAATACCGGGAAGTGAAATCACAGGCTACGTATGAGGTGGTGGGCCTTATGTATGGTGTGAGCAGCTTGACAGTCACTGATGATGTGTGTGTGTGTGTGTGTGTGTGTGTGTGTGTGTGTGTGTGTGTG